TGGCCTCACAGTCTCTGTAGTACTGGGTGCACCTTAACTCAGACCCTAACATAATGGCTGACACTGTGTGACCGTGTGTGTGTGTGTGTGTGTGTGTGTGTGTGTGTGTGTGTGTGTGTGTGTGTCAGGAGTTAGGGTAAAGGGGAAGTCACAGGTATGTGTAGGACACGTGTTGAGCCAGTAACATGTGTCTCTGTGGCCAGTGGCCCAGTAGCTGGTGGCCTTACAGCAAGTGGCCCTACAGCAGGTGGCCCTACAACAGGTGGCACTGCAGTAGGTGGCCCTACAACAGGTCGCCCTACAGCAGGTCGCCCTACAACAGGTGGCCCTACAGCAGGTGGCCCTACAACAGGTGGCCCTACAGCAGGTGGCCCTACAACAGGTGGCACTGCAGCAGGTGGCCCGACAACAGGTGACCCCTATAACAGGTGGCCTTATGGCAGGTGACTACAGGGGGGTGGCCCTCTGGCAGGTGGCTCTACAGGGGACGGCCGCCTGACAGGTGACTGTGGAGCAGCTGACCGTACAGTAGTGGACACGACACAGCTGACTGAACAGCTGCTGCCGGATGAACCTAAAGTGGATGACCGTGCAACAGGAAGTGATCTTACAACAACAGGTGATCTTACACTATCTGGTCTCGCAGAAAGTGGCCCTATAACAGGTGGCCCTATAACAGGTGGCCCTACAACAGGTGGCCCTATAACGGTGGCTATAACAGGGTGGCCCTACAGTACTGGACGTGTGTTATTGTGTGTGTGTGTGTGTCCGCTATGACTCACTTATAACTGGTCAAAACATTATGAAGAAGTTACGTAATAAACCAAAGAATTAAGTCATTATATCTATCTAAACGAGTCTCTCTCTCTCTCTCTCTCTCTCTCTCTCCCTAAATGGTCAATGGACAGCTCACTGCACGTAGCTCCGGGTTATCTCAAAAAAAAAAGAGCACTGAATTGAAATAAAATAAAAAGGATTTGGTGGGATGACGGCGGCCGGAGTGGTGGACGTTGGCAGGTAGAGAGAGAGAGAGAAGAGAGAGAGATCTTAGGGTGATCTGATATAATCAAATAATTTTTTACTACAGGACTACATATCCTCTTCCCCCCTGGCTCCACCCTGCCTTCCTTTTACCCCTCCTCAGTTCTCTTCCCACACCCCTACCCCTCCTATACACCCACACTCCCTTCCTCCCCACTTTCCTTCTCCCTATCTTCACCCTTACACCTCCCTATCCCCCCACTTCCTCTCCCTCTTTCCCTAAGGTCCTGTCTTCTCCCTCTCCTCCCCTCCTCCCCCCCCTCCCCCTCCCCTCCCTCCCTCCTCCCTCCCCCGCCCCCCCCTCCTTACTTCCCTCCCTTAAAAGCCCTCCTGGGTCTTACGATGGAGGGCATGAGGACGGCATAACGGGGAGGGATAGGCAGGTGAGGGATAGGGATAGCAGGGAGGAGGATAGCAGGGGGATGCAGGGGAGGGATAGCAGGGAGGGAGGCAGGGAGGGATGGCAGGGGGAGGGATAGCGGGAGGGATAGCAGGAGGGATTGGGGAGGATAGCAGGGAGGGATAGCAGGGAGGATGGCAGGTAGGGATAGCGGGGAGGGATAGCAGGGCAGGGAGGATGGCAGGTAGGGATGAGGGAGGATAGCAGGGAGGGATAGCAGGGGAGGATGGCGGGGAGGGATAACGGGGAGGGATAGCAGGGGAGGGATGTGGGTAGGGATAGCAGGTAGGTAGGGAGGAGGGTGGGATAGCAGGAGGGAGCAGGATAGGGGCAGGGGGACAGCAGGGAGGATAGCAGGTAGGGATAGCAGGAGGGATAGCAGGGAGGGATAGCAGGGAGGACAGGAGGGACAGCATAGGATAGGGAGGGATAGCAGGGAGGGATAGGCAGGTAGGGATAGGCAGGTAGGGATGAGTGGGGATAGCAGGGGGTGGGAGGGAGGAGCAGGCAGGGGGAGGAGGGATAGCAGGTAGGGAGCAGGAGGGATAGCAGGGAGGGATAGCAGGGAGGGATAGGGAGGGATAGCAGGGGGGAGGGGAGGGACAGCAGGGGAGGATGGGGATAGGGATAGCAGGGAGGATAGCAGGAGGGATAGGAGGATAGCAGGGGGGGATAGCAGGGGAGGGATAGCAGGAGGGGATAGCAGGATAGCAGGGAGGGAGGAGGATAGCAGGAGGGATAGCAGGTAGGGATAGGGAGGGACAGCAGGGAGGGATAGCAGGGAGGGATAGCAGGGAGGGATAGCAGGGAGGGATAGCAGTGAGGGATAGCAGGGAGGGATAGCAGGGATGTGAGTGGGATAGCGGGGAGGATGTGGGGAGGGATGGCAGGGAGGAGGATGTGAGGGATGGTGGGGATGGCAGGTAGGGATAGCAGGGAGGGGATGTGGGGAGGGATAGCAGGAGGGATGTGGGGGGAAGGATGTGAGGGAGGGATAGCAGGGGGGGATGTGGGGAGGGATGTGGTGGGGATGGCAGGTGGGGATGGCAGGGGATGTGGAGTGGGGAGGATGGCAGGGAGGGATAGCAGTGAGGGGGGATAGCAGGGAGGGATGGCAGGTAGGGATGGCAGGTGGGATGGCAGGTAGGGATAGCAGGTGGGGATAGCAGGGAGGGATAGCGGGGAGGGATAGGGGGATAGCAGGGGAGGGATGTGAGTGGGGATGGCAGGGAGGGATGTGGGTGGGGATGGCAGGTGGGGATAGCAGGGAGGGATAGGTAGGGATAGCAGGGATAGGGCAGGGATAGCAGGTAGGGATAGCAGGGGAGGGATAGCAGGGAGGGATAGCAGGAGGGACAGGGGATAGCAGGAGGTGGGGATAGCAGGGAGGATAGCAGGGAGGGATAGCAGGGAGGGGATAGCAGGAGGGGATGTGGGGAGGGATAGCAGGGGAGGGATAGCAGGTAGGGATAGCAGGGAGGGATAGCAGGAGGATAGCAGGGAGGGATAGCAGGTAGGGATAGCAGGAGGGGATAGCAGGGATAGCAGGGATAGGGAGGGATAGCAGGTAGGGATGGCAGGGGGAGGATGGCAGGTGGGGATGGCAGGTGGGATGGGAGGGAGGGATAGCAGGTGGGGATAGCAGGGTAGGGATGGTGGGGATGCAGGAGGGATAGCAGGGGGATAGGTGGGGATAGCAGGTAGGATAGCAGGGAGGGATGGCAGGTGGGGATGTGGAGGGGATAGCAGGTAGGGATAGCAGGTGGGGATAGCAGGTAGATATAACAGAAAAAGATAGCAGATGGAGATGGCAGGAAACACACAGTATAAGGGCACATAGTGTGGTGGACCAGGAAACACCAATACATTTGCAATTCATGTTTTGGGGTGTGGTGCAGGGTGGGGGTGGGGTGTGGGGTGTGGTGTGGGGGTGTGGGGTGTGGGTCGGGTGGTGTGGGGTGTGGGTGGTGTGGGGTGTGGGTGTGGGTGTGGGTGGGGGGTGGGGTGTGGGTGGGGTTGGGTGGTGGGTGGGTGGGGTCGGCCGGTATTATCACCAGAGTCAACAGCAGTCTTTAGTAGTGTAGTTGACCGCGAAGATTACAGAGGGGGAAGCTGTAGGGCTGATACTGGTGATAGCTGACCCACGGCACGAGGTCACTATTGGCACGAGGTCAGTATTGGCACGAGGTCACTATTGGCACGAGGTCACTATTGGCACGAGGTCACTATTGGCACGAGGTCACTGTTGGCACGAGGTCACTATTGGCACGAGGTCACTATCAGCACGAGGTCAGAATTTAATAAACTAAAATGTCAAATGGAATAACATTAGTGAGTGAGCGAGTGAGTGAGTGAGTGAGTGAGTATCAGAGAGCTGGGTGAGTCAGGCTGATGGAGGTAGGGAGGGAGGGAGGGAGGGAACAAAGTGATCACTGGCTTTTAAATAATCCCAAAATAAACAACAAAACACACTAACAAAATATTCGTCAATTTCCTGAACAAACCAACACAGATAAGGAACCCAAGCGCTGGTGTACTGACCTAAATAAAATACTAAAACCTTTACCAAAAAAACAAAAAAACTCCCAAACAAAATAATCAAAATCTACTAAATCACCACTTTAAGTTAGAATTTAAGGAACTCAATAACAATCACCAATAAGAACAGATTTAACAGACGGACGAGTGTAACAGTTAGGTAGGTAGGTCATTAGCTGGTGCAGAAGAGATAGCCAAGTCTGCAGTATCTAAACGTATATCGAGACTACTACTACTACTACTACTATTACTACTACGTTAACGACCTCATAGACTAGCTACCACACTAACAAGGAGATGCTCGAGGCTGACTGGTGGACACTGGATCTTGAACAACATAGGCCACAAGACGAAACACTCAAACAATTAACACATTTATCCAGGTGATTAAGTAGTTATCGAGGTCATAAGGTAATACCACCCTGATTTACCTGTAATAGATCACACTATTTAGAGTATAGAGTGAGAAAGGATGGATGTTTTTACTCTGTTGATATATATCTGTGTACGTGGATATGGGATGAACATTTTTTTTGGTGTGTATATGTGTACCTGTGTGTATGTGCGTATATCAGAACACCCACACAGACACACACACACACGTATACGCTCACCACCACCATAATAACACTCGGCCGTATCTCCCCGTGGCTGCATCAACCACCTGTCACAACCATACAATCCAACACAACTACAAACCTCAAAGTTGGTCCAAACAAAATTCATATACTGCACGCTTCTGACTTTGTGTTCCTGAGGCTTCAGTATATACAGGTACAGTATATACGCTATCCCTCCATCATATAGCCTCGCTCTCCACCCCCTCCCCTCACCCTCCATCCCCTCCCCTCACCCTCCAGCCCCTCCCCTCTCACCCTCCAGCCCTCCCCTCTCCAACCCCCCTCCTCCTCTACCCCTCGCTCCTACCCACCCCCCTCCCCTAAAAAAAATCCCGTGATTATTAAATTGTTGAACATTTTTACCAGGGAACCATTGTTAAATATTTATGGTGGTGTTTCAGAGTGCAGAGGCGGGCTGGTGGACGCTCAGGGGATCACCGGCAATGCTGTGATCATCTGTCCCAACTCACAGCTGCTGCCACAACTACGGCCACCACAGCTTCAACCACAGCTTCTACAATCCCAGCTCCAACCACAGCTTATACAACCCCAGCTACAGGCTAAAGAAGCACAGCTGGGGGCTCAACAACCACAGCTACAACCTCACCTTCAACCAGAGCTAAATCTTCAGCAACAGCTACAGCTACACCAGCAGCTACACCCACAGCTACAGACGCACCACCAACAGCTACACCCACAGCTACAAGCGCACCTGCAGCTACAACAATCACAACCACAGTTTGGTCCTGAGCCACAGGTACAACCACAACTACCACAACCTCGGCTCCATCCCCAGCAACCAGAACAACAAATACAACCTCAACAACCACAGGAAAAGCCTCAACAACCAAAGCTAAAGACTCAAGAACCACAGCTAAAACCCCAACAACCAAAATCAAAGCCTCAACAACCACAACCACAGCTTAAGCCTGAACAGCCACAGCTTAAGCCTGAGCAACCACAGCCACAGGTTAAGCGTGAACAACCACAACTTAAGCCTGAACAACCACAGCTTAAGCCTGAGCAACAACAGCTTAAGCCTGAGCGACCACAACCACAGGTAAAGCGTGAACAACCACAACTTAAGCCTGAACAACCACAGCTTAAGCCTGAACAACCACAGCTTAAGCCTGAGCAACCACAACCACAGGTTAAGCGTGAAAAACCACAACTTAAGCCTGAACAACCACAGCTTAAGCTTGAACAACCACAGCTTAAGCCTGAACAACCACAGCTTAAGCCTGAGCAACCACAACCACAGGTTAAGCGTGAAAAACCACAACTTAAGCCTGAACAACAACAGCTTAAGCCTGAACAACCACAGCTTAAGCCTGAACAACCACAGCTTAAGCCTGAACAACCACGGGTTAAAACTCAAAAAGCACAGCTGTCGACTCAACAGCCACAGCCAAATACTCAACAACCACAGCTTAAGCCTGAACAACCAAAGCTAAAGCTTCAACAACCACAACTATCGACTCAACAACCGCAGCTAAAACCTCAACAACCAAATCCAGAGACTCAACAACCACAGCTTAAGCATCAACAACCACAGCTAAAGCCACAACAAAAGCTAAATCCTCAGCAATCACAGCCAAAGCCTCAACAACCAAAGCTAAAGACTCAAGAACCGCAGCTACCACAACCAAAACCACTCCTGCAGTTACAACAGCGACAGTTTCAGACTCAGCCACAGCTACAACCACAGCTACTACAACAGGGGCCACAACAACGGAACCACAGCAACAGGTGAGAGCTTCCTGTTGTTGAGTTGTGATGACGTAGTGTTGTAGTTATACCCTCCCCCCCCACACACAGGGAGGGAAGGAGGTAGGAAGGGAGAGAAAGAACCAGGTAAGGGAACACCTCTCCTCATCTCTCCTCACCTCACCTCACCTCACCTCACCTCACCTCACCTCACCTCTCCTCATCTCTCCTCACCTTACCTCACCTCTCCTCACCTCACCTCACCTCACCTCACCTCACCTCACCTCACCTCCCCTCCACCTCACCTCCCTCCCTCACCTCACCTCTCCTCCTCACCTCACCTCACCTCACCTCACCTCACCTCACCAAGGGCCAGCGTCTCTAGGTAGTGTTGATAAGGTGAGAAATATGTGTTTATTTCTTCGTCCGTTTTAATATACAAGTTAATAATAACATGACAACGTTTATTTACCTACAAGGTTAATTGTAAATAAACACCTTATGTTTTACTAGTGGAGGTTTCAATAAGTTAAATTTCCCTAAAACTTTATCCATCAAAACTTTCCAACAAATAATCTAATGAGTTAAAAAAAAGTTAAATATATATATACATGAAACACTACAGTTAAATCTTCATATACGAACAATTTATCATAACTAATAAACTAACTCAAAAAACAATATTCCCTATAAATAATAATAACGATAACTCAGATCATAACACGAGAATAAGACATCATCAGTTTATGTCAAGGGAGGAAAAAATATATAATTATAAACTAAAAAAAAATCTTTACTCGTTCTCCCTACTGACCATAAGCAAGCAAGGTATAATGAGTACCTACCACCCCGCTCTCATCTCCTCCTCCCCCCTCCCCGCTCTCATCTCCCCCTCCCCCCTCCCCGCTCTCATCTCCCCTCCCCTCTCCCCCTCTCATCTCCTCCCCCCTCCCCGCTCTCATCTCCTCCCCCTCCCGCTCTCATCTCCTCCTCCCCCCTCCCCGCTCTCATCTCCTCCTCCCCCCTCCCCGCTCTCATCTCCCTCCTCCCCCCTCCCGCTCTCCTCCTCCTCCCCCCTCCCCGCTCTCATCTCCTCCTCCCCCCTACCCGCTCTCATATCCTCCCCCCTCCCACCACCGCCTCTTCCCACCCCTCCCGGTCTGTCGTTCTCACACACAATATTTTGAACGGGATCAGCGGAAGCATAATGGTGGTGCTGATGGTGTTATCCCGACGGAGATAGAAGATTCTCCTCACCTATAACATCCTCCTCCACGATACTACTAACGAATGATAAACCCCCAAAAAAACGAAAAATTGGGTGATCAGAAATTGGGTTATTGGGTCAGGCAGCGTCTATCAAAGGGGAAGAATTATTATTTCCTGGTGTTATTGTGTGATGTGTGTTCTGTATGCATAGTTCTTGAGGGGTACCAAAAGATTATTATTATTATTTTTATTATTATTATTATTATTGTGTCTATGTCCATCTCATCCACACTATCTTCTCTCTCACACTCTCTCCTTCCCTCCCTTTCTTCCTCCTTCCATCCTTACTTTCCTCCATCCTCCTTTCTTCCCTCCATCCTTCCGTCTCTCTCTCTCTCTCTCTCTCTCTCTCTCTCTCTCTCTCTCTCTCTCTCTCTCTCTCTCTCTCTCTCTCTCTCTCTCTCTCTCTCTCTCTCTCAGGGACGGAGGCTCCCCACCATGTCTCAGCGAGGCATCAAAATTCATCCAGCAAACTCTAAAGTCTTAAAATTTTCCAATCTGAAGCAAGCAGCCCGTCACACTCCCTTCTCTCCCTCCTTCTTTCACTATCTTCAAATCTTCTTTCTTTCCTTCTTCCCTCCCTCCTTCTCTCACTATCTTCATCTCTTCTTCCTCTCCTTCTTCCTTCCCTCCCTTCTTCTCTCTCCCTTCCTCCCTCCCTCTCGCTCTCTTCATCCTTACTTCAGCATCATCCTTGACTGATTGTTGGTCTCCCACATTTACAAGCTAACAAGAAATAGATCTCTCTCTCTCTCTCTCTCTCTCTCTCTCTCTCTCTCTCTCTCTCTCTCTCTCTCTCTCTCTCTCTCTCACATTTCAAAAGCAAGTAGGTGGAAACCCTTCAATTCTCTGTCTGTCTTGTCTCCTTTTTCTTTCCTGCCTCCCATCTCTCCCCTCTCTTTCTCTCACCTCTCCACCGTCCCTCTCCTCCCTCCCACCTCGTAGAAGGAAGTCACTATCTTATACATACCATAGAATAATTTCACACACACACACACACACACACACACACACACACACACACACACACACACACACACACACACACACACACACACACACACACACACACACACACACACACACACACACACACACACATATTCCTCAACACAATTTCATTTCCAGAAGAGTTGACGTCCGTTTGTCTGTCACTCGCCCTTACAGAAAAATCCCGACTGCGACCTCGTCAAAACTTACATAAAATTTGAAGGGCGAATATTCCAGACACCTTGATTACGATTTTATTTTTTGAGAGCGTAAATTTTTTGTTGGTTGATGAGATGGTGAAGGAGGAGGAGGAGGGAGGAGGAGGGAGGGAGGAGGGAGGAGGAGGAGGAGGGAGGAGGAGGTGGAGTAGGAGGAGGGAGATTGTGCAGTTGTGAGGGAAGGGGAGGGAGGAATGGAAGGAAGAAGGGAGGGAGGGTGGGAAAGATAGTGAAGGTGTGAGGGACCTTTAACATGATCACCACCACCGTCATTACGATCATCATCATCATCTTCATCATCATCAATAATAACCAATAACACTTTCACCATCCTCACCATCACCACCCTCACCACCATCACCATCACCACCATAAACACCCTCACCACCATCACCACCACCATTAGCAACAGAACCAACATTACGGAATTTCCAGCCAATTTGTTGAGTCATTTGAAAGGATTTGTTAAGCTATAAATATCAACGCTGACCAAATTCTTTTTTCCCTGCCCAACTTTCTATTAAATATATAACCTAACCTTATTTTATTGTTCTCATCTCTCATAGTAAATGGAAATATAAGTATCCAAAGTGATTTATTTATTGTGTACGTCAGAGCTAGGTGGGGGTGTGTGTGTGTGTGTGTGTGTGTGTGTGTGTGTGTGTGTGTGTGTGTGTGTGTGTGTGTGTGTGTGTGTGTGTGTGTGTGTAATACTTTTATATCACAGCAACAATCAAAACACCCAATCTTGGTTTAGATAATATTTAAACCACTATTGTAAAGAATAATAAATGACTTAATATCACTGAGCTTTAACTACAGAGGGAAAAAAGTAATAGTGTTTCGTTCACTAAATAGCGAACCAAGTGCGTGTGAAAGAGGAAATTTGCGACCACGCCACCACCCACTAGCTCACGCAACCAATGACCAATTTTCCTTTTCACACATTAAAGGTCTTTTTAGAGAGAGAGAGTGTGTGTGTGTACAGGAGTTAGTGATGTACAAGGAACAGGCAGAACCCTCCACTCTGACCGAGAATCAAACCCAAGACCTCACGCTTAGTAATCGCTCTATGATTGAACTACACACACACACACACACACACACACACACACACACACACACACACACACACACACACACCCCACACACACACACACACACACACACACACACACACACCCACACACACCCACACACACACACACACACACACACACACACACACACCCCACACACACACACACACACACACACACACACACACACACACCCACACACACACACACACACACACACACACACACACACACACACACACACACACAGGGGGGAACAGAATTGGAATCAGCTGGCCTCGACCTCTGAGAGTTATTGAAGAAACCATAAGGTGTGTGTGTTTGAGTGAACCGATACACAGTGTAGATCCCCCGATACTCCAGATCCCGATACCGCTGCTAGTAACCATTATCTTACTGCCTCGCTCTTTCCTAACCTATTTGCTATTGATTCCCGACAGGTTCCCTAGTTCTTTTGTTTACTTACACGAGCAGTATAACCAGCCGTCCGTACAGTAAATCTATAGACGTTGTATAGTGAAAACCTCCCAATAACGGACCTCTCTCTCTCCTTCTCTCTCTCTCTCTCTCTGTATATAATCCATTAGCTGGGGTTTCACATCTAACGGACCCTCGATATAACGGACTTTCCTCTCCAAATAGTCCGTTAAATAGAGGTTTCATCATCATAAGTCCTTCAGAAACAGACAGACAGACAGATAGACAGAAGGCACAGTAAAACCCTCAGTGATAACGTGACACAACACTCACCATCCAGCAAGCAGTAACTGTTATATCGGAGCATAATGCCCCGTGCCACGCCATGCCCCACGCTCCATAACACCCGCCATGCCTCCACGCTCCATAACACAAGCCAAGTGCAAAGTCATCACGCAACATAACACACACTAAGTAGCCGGGCCAAATAACACAAGGCGATGTATTCACTCTATATAATGCAGGTTATGACTCTCTGTCTCTCTCTCCCCACCACACACTCTCACTCCCCAACTCACGCTCCCCACCCCTCTCTCTCCACCACACCTCTCCTCCCCAACTCCGCTCCCACCCCTCTCTCCCCACCACACACTCTCACTCCCCAACTCACGCTCCCCACCCATCTCCCCACCACCTCTCTCACTCCCCCAACTCGCTCCCCACCTCTCCCCCACCACACACTCTCACTCCCAACTCACGCTCCCACCCATCTCCCCACCACACACTCTCCTCCCCCAACTCCACACTCCCACCCCTCTTTCTCCACCACACACTCCTCCCCAACTCACGCTCCCCACCCTCTCTCTCCACCACACACTCCTCACTCCCCAACTCACGCTCCCCACCCCTCTCTCCCCTACATACTCTCACTCCCCAACTCACGCTCCCCACCCCTCTCTCCCCCACCCACTCTCACTCCCCCAACTCACACTCCCCACCTCTCTCCCCACCACCTCTCACTCCCCAACTCACGCTCCCCACCCCTCTCTCACACTCTCCCTCAAGGACA